TGTGACGGAAACATTATTGCTGGGTGACAGGGAAGGCCAACGTGTACTCGATAAGGGGCGTTAAAAGAGGAGGGTCACCTATTCATGACGCGCGACACAGCATCAGCCATGCGCTGGTTCCGTCAAGTGATGTAGAGGGTGAGATAGGGACATTGACGGTGGGTGACATAAAGTGATAACATTCGATGGGGGCCTATAAGGGACGTTGCCGTCGTCGTTGTTGGTCAAGGTGGTAGAGACTTCACATTACTAATTATAAAGATTTAGCTATGAGGATACTGACGGCGGGTGACAGGTAATCATATCAACTGATAAGAATTGATAAGAGACCATCTTTACTACGATTCTTACTAATTCTTACCACTATACTGCCAAATATTACAGGCTGGGTAGATGAAGTCTCTCCTCTAGCCGCACAATGTCAACAGAACGAAAGCAACCACCAAAGCTACCTGCTCCTACATGCATTAAGTGTATGTAATGATGTCGAGCGGAGGGGAGGTACATTAAAGGCAGTTGGCACGATAAATCCCCCAAGACAACTAGAATACTAGGATCAATACTCCTGGCAGGATAGAATTCCGCGACCCTGGGCAGGCGCTGCATAGCGGTTTCCCCGAGGAAGGTGCCCTTATAAGGGCCCTATCAAGCCACAACATTACGACCCAAACGCCCGCCCACAAATGGACGACCGTTCCTGACGCTCGTATTCATTCATTTGCTAAGCAAATTATGAAGCGAAGGGATTGGTATGAAGCGGCCGTGATGCTGCATGCATACATGGGTACACATATGCAGCCGTATCTTCGGTAGCGGTGATTGGTAAGATGCCGGAAACTCGTCCGAAATCGATTTTCAAGTCACTGAGAACGGAGGCTTTTTCTTCGCAGGATTTTGACCGTTTCACTCCGTTCTTTCGCCATTTCCCCACTATACAGCGCCCTACTAGCATTTTAGGCTAAGTAGGAAACCATCGTGCCAACTGCCTTTAAGCGCCTGAAACGGTTAAAAAATCAAAAGTCGAGGAGATACGGGTCGCAATCAAACCAAAAGATGGAAGTAAGTAAATAATTCAAGATTAGTGGAAGATATGATAATATCAGCCACTGGTGTGTGGGTTGGGGGGGACAGGGGGAAAGGGTGGGGGTGGTTCCGTCAGTTTGTCGCGAAATTCTCAGTGCTCATTTCACCAAAGGGAAAGTGTTGGTTCCAGGCAGGGAAGGGGTGAATAGTGATGATGGATGACAGTAATTGACAGCTGCTGATAAGAGCTGATATGGGCGTTGAAAATTAAGCGTCATGAAGTCCCATAGCGCACATCGCAGCAACAATGGTAAGATGGATCTAGGAAGGTGTCCAGGGGGTGGGAAGGGTACATCTATTGTGTACGACAGGAAGTGATAACAACAGATAACAGCTGATAATGAGCATAGATAAGTGGGGCCACAAAATTCATGATGCTAGTGCCGCGAAAGCGGAGCGCTAGTTCCACGAAGCAATGTAGGGATGGGACGGGGACAGCGATGGTGGGTGACAAGAACTGATAGTGAGTGGATAAACGCTGATAAGAGACGTTAGAAAAGAAACGAAATCTATAACGGGTCATTTCAGCAAGCGTCTTACGATCATTAGGACGTGGATAACATTATCTGATAACAACTAGTAGGGGCAATTTTATGGTTAGCTACATCCTCAGGTACAACTAGAAAAGAGGTGACATGAGTAATCTTCGTTACCTATTCGTGAGCGCACCCAGCCAGCACGCAGAAGCAAAGGACCGTAGTTCACCGCATAAAGTATCAATATTAGCGGCATTTTCAGCTCAAAACTTCCCCCGCTACGCCAGACCAAGTCCGGTTCCTGCAAAATAGAAAACCTTCTAGTGTCTATTCGAGGACTAGCGTGAACAAGTAAAAAACGTTAATACGCTACTGGTTAAGGAGTGGATCTAGAATACTAGAGTATGATAAAACTTGAAAACGTTTCCAAAAAAGGTAATCTCAACGAGGATGCATAATTCCTCTGCCGCCATCTACTTTCAACAGTTCGCCAGTAGTGAATGAACTCTTCTCTGAAGCGAGGAACAACACAGCTTCAGCTACTTCAGATGCTTCACCAACACGTCCGAGGGCGTGAGTAGTTTTGCTTCTCTCGAGGAACTGGAAGAGAGGCGGAATTTTAGGGAAATTCAGGTTATAGTACAGAAAAGAACAGAAATCCAATGAGGAACATAAAAGACTTCACCCCTTCATAGGCTGCATCGTTCATACCGGATCGTTTGTGGACCTCAGTGACGATAACACCAGGACTAAAAGTGTGAAGCTCAGATAAAACTAAAAAAACACTGGTGGGAGAAAGAAAAGAATCAGGTTTTGGGCATCTCTGAGCAGAGCTCCAATCCTTATTCTTAAGCACTTCTTGGACTATTTTTTGAATAGATCTTTTCCATTAGTATGGACGAAGAGGCAGACTACTACCACTTACGTAACTACATCACTTCGCTCGAATTGGGCATAAAAAATGAAAAATACACTCACTTAACTGCATTAACGCGTACTCCATGTGGCGCCATTTCGAGGGCTAGACATTTTGTGAACTGGTCAATAGCCGCCTTAGACATGCAGTAATACGAAACACCGGGGAACTGAAAACTCTGATCCTTAATCTCAACCGTTCTCTTTTGCCGTAAATGAACTGCCACGTTTTGATTTACACTTTCGCGGCGTGCCCTCTACGACGCGCTCCAAAATTCTTAAATTGAGAATGAACTGGTGTAAATAATTGTTGAGCCAACATGATCAAAGGGTCGTATCAGGTCTCTAATTAGGGGTCGTCGGGTTTTTTTTCGCTCCGGATGAAAGGGTGTGTCAGGCGGCATGGGTTAGGCCAGGCGCCTAATTCGTTTTTAACCAGCTGTTGAAGCGAGCAAGCGACACGACTGTACCGTGTCGTTCGTATCAGTCGTTTTCCAACAACTGTTGTCACTAAACCGCTTCAATAAGTGCTAGAGAACGGGTTTGGCGCCACGCTAAACACATCCCGCCTAAGACGCCCCTTCACCCGCAGCAAAGGAGACTACATTTGTCGTTGGGAGAAACTTTCGCAGACTGCCAGTTTCTCAAGTTTCAAGACGCTATGTATCCCTTCTTATAGCACCGCCGCAAAACCAATAGATGATCGGAGGTGTCCAACCTACACCGTACCCCATGCTCGACCGCAGTTTTGGGAAAATGAGGTGATTGTAAAAGGATCAAAAGATCGTACTGACTGGAGATAGTCCTTCTACTCTGACTATTGCAGCAGTCTTTCCAACGTACCTATTTATGTATTTGTTTTTCCACAGCCAAGCTATAGCCTAGTTCGCTGTGGACGACGGGGCGTGTCAGGCAGGATAAGTCTGGCTCAGTGCTAAACCCGTTCGAAACCAGCTATCGAAGCTAGCAGAGGCAAAACTCTATCATATCGTTCATATCACTCGATTTCTACCTTGTTGGCGTATACGCGCTTCAACACTGGCAGGAAACGGGTTTGGCCACCCTCATACTGCTTGAAACACCCCTTCAATCGCAGCGCACTAGAACATGTGTCTTTTTTTCAGAGCCTGACCAAAACGCTGCTCCGCAAAATCAGGGCTAAAGTAAATTCGAGAATGTATTAGTATATACCAAATAAAACAAAACTTCTAACCATTCATCGAACAAAAATGAATTTTCATGAAATTGTAAATGCTTTACAGGAGAAACTCACTGCACATGGACCTGCAATGCTTGAAACATTCACGATCGTTCCTTTCGTTTTAATTATGTGAGGCAGCGCTAGGCGAGTTAACATGACGACGCTAAAAAAGTTGTGACGCTTAAATACCAAGTTTCGGGTTGAATTCTTATTATATAAAGTAACGTGAGAGATAAATCCAATGCCGAAACTCATAGAGCCAAGGTTAACAATTGTCTCGCTCTGTAATGAAAGTGCCCTATAGGGAAACGTCTGATTGACATTTGAGCCAATACGAAAAATGAGCGGCACACAATTCAAGCACACCGATAAAGCTAACGGGGCGACCACAAACGACAGCCTATAGTAGCCCTAACAACTTCAAGCATGGAGAGCACATCTCTACAGTGATTGTTACAATCCCAAACCTGCAGTTCAGCCATGGGAATACAGGAGAAGCCATTCCGAAAGGGGGCAAAGATAAACGAATGACCGTTCATAGACAGCAAGGTTAGAAAAGCTTAGCCAAAACTTTACCTTCTTACATTCACATCCATCTGGCGATCGTACACTTCAATATCAGTGTCTATAATATTTCCAGATGTTAGAATTCCGGCGCAGTTAATCTGAAAAAAAGCAGCGGTTACGTGACCATTTCTCTTGAAACAAAAGTGCTAAAATTGTTAACTATTATTAATTAAAATGTGATCAAAAAAGCAATAATGAACAGAAACGTAATTCTGCACCAGTGTATCAATTCGCTGGAATTCTTTTATGGTATGATCGATGAGCTTCTGCGTTTGCTCGTCACATAAATCGCCGACAGTAGTGATTGCCTTGAAAACAAAACAATTGGAAGAAATTTTCACACCATCATAAACTTCCTTGGAATTTACGTGAGAGGTTCAATGGTTCGGTAACTGTCCCTAGGCACCGAGAATTACTGGGTGAAGGTCAGTAGTGAAATGTGGCCCCAGATACCACGCGCACTGTCTGGAAGCCAAATGTCTGGTACGTTTTAGCCCGAGCCAACAAAGCCGTCCATCTCTATGGTGCGAGTAAATTGATACAATATTGTTCTCTACGGATGCTGGGCATGTGAGGGGCGGGGTTGGGCTAGGTTTGGCACGGTGCTGAACCGTTCTTCAGTAATTGTTAAACCAAGCAAGCGACAACAACCGGTGGATAAGCAAGCAGACGCTCTCCAGTCGCATCCCCATGCCATGCCCCAGCACACCCGCAGAGGACAGTACTAACAGATTCGTACGGTCTAGGAAAGGTCAACAGTCGATCCGACCATTTATTTATGCTGTGATGTACACTTGTGTCTTAAGACGTTGAGCTCGAATCAACCTGAGGAATTTGCAAAGCGATTCACTGAAGAGAGTCGCGAAGGCATTTTTATTTCAGATTCTATTATTACTATATTCTATTATTATATTATCAAGAGCACATCTACTCAAGTGACGGGGCAGCAGTGGGAGTGGCTTCCCATCAACAGGTCGTTGGTTGAACTCCGTTTGTTGGTGAGCTGCGGTTTTTGCTTCATAGAAAGCATGGGTAGAAGTTTCAATATTGCTACTTCAACAGGGCTCTGCTATTGATACTTGCAAGGAGAACTTATAAAAAGCACATGGTCAGTTTGTTTGGACGCCTTGAGACCAAAAAGAAACTTCGCCGGTAGAGCCCACTCCCACCAACCAGCTCTCCAGAGGTACTGCACTACCCATAAATATACCTCTTTGATATACGCTGTACACTTACCTGCAAGTGGATCCTTGCCATGTATGAGGTGTACAGGTCTGCAGCTGTTGAGGTATGCCGCTTTAATTACTTGAAAATTGGTGGGAATGAAGCTGAAGAATTGCGAAAACAAGTTGCGTTATGGACTCTACTCGCTATTCCCAACGTGTGGCATTTGAGTTGATACCAAGGTGCGCAAGGGACATGTTGACAGTTGCCGACAGCGTCGCAGACAAATAGCGCGCATGGTTAGGTGAACGCCTGGTCGTGCGGCACCTTGCTGTCCATGTACTTGACAGTGGGCGGAGTACGGAGCAGTACGTGACTAACTATTTCACATTTTCGAGTCACGAAAGTGGCACAATTCTGCAGCTGCAGACCCGTCACCTCGCTCATAACACCGATCAGAATCCTCGAGAGTGAGCGCATAGCGCATCTATAACGCACATTGATGGTCTTTTCCCTCCTAGTGCCGTTAAGGGAAAACTCATGGAGAAACTTTCAAAACGTCATTCAGAGAACCGCTGCCCGGAAACCTCGAGAGCATATTTAAGTTTGACGCCTCGAGTTGCCTGGCATACATCTTGCAGCAACTGACTGACCCGAACTGATTGACCTGATGACATTTCCTCGCGAAGAGAAGAAAAAACAGCACCATGAACATGGATTAGTCCCTGCAAGGCCTTGCACAAACGGAACCCATTCAAGTATTATATTATTGCGGTTCCGAATGGTGAGGGCCCTTAAGTCTTTCTTAGATGATGCATGTGCTTTAATTATGGGTCGGGAAACAGGGGATGTAAAAAACAGTGCAGCAGAAAGCAAGAAGGCCCACGGTGAAGCAGTCGATAAAGATGACAAAATAAAAGCCACTAACACCTGGTGCTCCAGTGTCGAAGCATAACTTGACGGTCTTTTTCAATGCGTCTTCATCTCTACCGCTGAGCGATAGTGCGTAACCCTCTTGAGCTAGTCGGCTAGCAACTGCCGCTCCAATACCAGATGAAGCTCCTGAACAACCACTCGCTAGGTGAATATGCTTTCAAGAGAAACATAAACAACATTGGTATCACAAGGTGGAAAACGTGCCCAAGGTGCAAATGAGATGACACCCGTATCGCGAACTGCGACGGAAAACACCAATCAATAAAAGAAAGCTAAATGTAAAAGTGACGGAAGTCATAGGAACGACTGAAAATGATTAGCGAGAGAATAACTCTTTGGATCTCTTTTGAGATCGTCATGACATCTAGGAGGCAATCTCACGGTTAGAGACCCAAACCCCCAGGGATAAAGCAGAAAAAAAGTCGAGAGGAAAATCACGCAAAAGGGTACATGTGAATAACATACCAGTTATAACCGCAACAAGCACCATGGTAACAAAATTCCTGAAAATGCAGTGAATAGTAAACTTATTTAGGCTACAAAAATCAATATAGTAAAGAAATCATAGACAACGAAAAAACCATGGCGTAGGCGAAAAAACTTTATAGGGAATCTGGTGCAACCTCTCAAAAGAAAACACGACAAGAAAGGACATCATAGGGCAAACCGTAATTCAGCATCACAATCTAACTACTTTAAATACCTAATCAAAGTTCGGACTAGAAATGGATCAACGAGGATGCATGATTCCCCTTCCACCGTCGACTCTCAGCAACTGTCCAGTCGTGAACGAACTTCGCTCGGAAGCCAAAAAGAGAATCGCTTCGGCGACCTCTCTCGGATCTCCAGGCCTGCCGAGAGCATGTGTTGTTTTGCTCTTTTCTAGGAACTGAAACAACCACTTCAAAAATGTACAAAAAAAGGTACAATGGACACTTACAGCGGCGTAAGTTTGTTCATCTTGACCAGATCGCCTGTGGAGATTGGTTACGGTAACTCCAGGACTGTAATAAATTATTATCATGAAAGCGGCAAAAACCAACGATGATAAGGGATTGTCGTTCAACAGAATACAAAATGCTTATAATTTGTGCAGTACTGGTGAATGGTTCAACGCCCGATACCAGTGAACTAATGAACGTTGGGATTCGCTCTTAAGAGAAAAGTAGAACCAGTAGAATGAACACAGCGAACACTAGGAACATTCCCGCATGTTGTCCTTGATCATTGGTCGCTCTAGACAATCAAATCGAATTACTCGCCAAAACCTGTTTCAAAGGGCAACGTCAATCTAGCGAGCCTCAATCGATACTGAAAGACATATTCGCCTTCTGGATGAAACTAATTTCATGGACTCCACGAAAGAAAGAGCATAACATAGCACATAAGAATACGCTCTCCTCTTAAACCTCCAAACGACACAAAGGCATCAACTAATTGGCTGTAGTCAAAAAGCGCTTCCAAAAACAAGAGCTGCTTGACGAAAACGGGGCAATCGCTCGCAGCACCGATAATCGGAAAGCTCACCGATAAGGTTGCATTCCCTTTGAGACGTTTGAGTAGACAGCCACGCTGAAATCCCAGATCTGCTCTTACATAGCGGAACTCTTTAGAAACCCTCACTGCCCAAACTCGGCCTTTGAGATTATCCCGCTCTGATTACGACTATGGTATTGACATTTGACCATCACGCGCGCGCAACGACTGCTTCGCCAGAGTCTTCATAAACTCAAATACACGAGCCCATTCGAACGCGGGGGGGGGGAGAATCTGACATCCATATGTTATGTTATGTTTATTACGCTGCATAAGGCAAACGTGAGAGAACAACAAACAAAGAACATCACGAAAAAAAACTTTCTGGGAACAAGACGACAACGATATATCAACTAGGAAAATACGCTCACTCAGTATATCAAGAAGATATCAAACTAATCAAAGTGAAATGAAATGAAGCGACTCGAGCTGGCAACGATCCGAGACTATTCCACTATTGATGAAGTTAGGAAATTCTGAAGTCAATCTCAAGCAACTAGGATGTTACGTAACTAAGAAGCCGTGAAGCTACAATCCTCTTAAGCTGTCGCACAGTACTGGGAATGGATAAATTCTTTGTGACCCTCTTATATGTGCTCGCGGCTCTGAATGAGAAGCTAGCGGCTCTCACCCTGGTCCTTGGACAAGCTAAGAGAATTTTAGCTTGCCCACCTCTGGTCCGTGATTGCTGGATTTCAAACAAATTGAGAGGATTTGACCCTTTAGACCCGTACATAAGCTTGTAAACCATGCACACATCCGCTACCATCCGACGTGTTTCGAGGGTGGAAAGTTCGAAGTATTTGTTCCTGATGGAAGCTTTGGGAACCCTCGAATACAAGAAGCTCCTGGTTCGCAAAAGAATTTTGCGAGTATAGTTATTTTGCACCTTCTCCAAAGCTAACACATCCCGTTTCTTAGTGGGGAAGAACACAGCAGCTCCCGTCTCTACTAAAGGACGAACGTATGTTTTGTATGCCTTGAGCAGAACAGACTTGTTAGTAGAGGACAAACCCTTGAAAATGTGATGCGTCCTAAGAAAAGCCAAGTTACATCGGTTTTTGATATGTTCGGAAAAGTCTAAAGTGTTGGAGTAACGAAAGCCAAGGTCCCTAACAGAGTTGACTGGGGAGACGGCAACACCATGATCCATGATAAGCATCTGCGCAGCACTGGAGACAGCATCAAACTGCTAACTATATTTGCCGGCAGGACAACACACAAGAACAAGCTTCTTCATATTTTCATGTGTTTTTGTAGCCGTAACACTAGAATACTGCTGCTACTCTACCAACTCAGCAGAACGGGTTTGTACGGAATTTGCTATAATTTCTTGATAATGAAAAGGCGTAGAAAAAAAGGATTGGCAAAAAAGGGACAGAATATCATTACATTAGAAAGGAATACATACTTGACGGCGTTCACCCTGACTCCATGCGGTGCCATTTCAAGCGCGAGACATTTTGTGAATTGATCAACGGCCGATTTAGACATGCAGTAGTAAGTTACGCCAGGAAACTGGAAAAGTTACAAATGAAAATTTCAACATCCATGCATCAGTGCGAGGAAAACTCTCTGGTGTACATACTTTGCAACTGTGGATGGAGGATCCTCGTAATCGGGAAACACGTCAGTTTGGCGTTAGCATTTTAGGCATCCGCCACCGTTCTGAGAGTTATATCTATACTTTCATAGTCGCTCAAACACTCAAACTGCTGGTGTAGGCTCAACAATGCTGGCTGACGCTCAAAAGTTCAGATCGTGCCGTATATTTTCTAGTCGCTAGAACACTGGTGAACGTTCAAAATGCTGAGCCGATACCTACACTTCTGCAGTCACTCGAAATGCTGGCGCAAAGTATGAACACACTCCAAAGGATTAGATGAAGACTCAGCCGATTATAGGTCACGAGATCTCCCGGTTCTTTTGAAGTGGAAGGATTCTCCACATTCGCAAATTTATGAAACGATAAATAATACCTACTGGACAAGGCCCATTTATGCTGCTCACGTTGACAACTGTCCCTTTCGATTTGATGATGTGAGGGAGTGCTGCTCGAGTAAGACGAACCAAACTGAATTATAGCAGTAGTTTCAGTAATAATCTCAGAGCTGAAGCGTTTACCATCTAACATTAACATTGAACAGTTCATCGTATACGCTGATGTCGGAATTGAGCACCTCGCCAGCTCTGAGAATGCCAGCTGAATTCACCTGCAATGGAAGAAATAACTCTTATACACCTAAGGGACTGTTAGGTGACCAAATGACGACAATGAATACAAGGACTGAAGTCTAAAAAGGTGCACACACGCTATTCCGTTTCCACCGCAACCTTTCACTTGGACCTGGATACTTTTCGAAACTAGACAACAAGTTAAAAAGGTATACGTTCGTTGTAGGTTTGTTTGGGCTACCACCATTCCCATTCGCAAACTGCCTGGCTTGACTTGATCATTATGACTTTGACTTAAAAAAAATACTTAATTTTCAACGTCTACAG